ATCCCGAGACGCACATGCAGTCTGATGCTCGAACGTCACCATTGACTTTCCATTGAAAGTCGACGCAACGCATGATCCGGTGTGAAAGCAGCATCAGACATCACACTCAGAGCAGTTTAAAAGTATTGCTCTTAAATTTGTTTTTTTCATAAATCTCAAGTGATATTGCGTTCCTTAAAGATCGACTGTGTTTGCTGACGGTAATTATCAAAGTTGGAGAAAAACAAAAAAGGTATAATTTCTTTCTAAAATATGAAAGTACAGTAATAGTCTCATAATTGTAAATGCCCAAAAATAATCCATAACATTTCTTCTTTAATGCTTCCTCTCTTGTGCTCACCGTGTCTTAATAAGTTAGTAAAGTTAAATGTCATTTGAAGCACAGCAGCTGTTGCATGGGGCTGTATTAAAATCAGCCTGGCCCAATGTTCTCTAATCATATCACTGTTTTATGGCAAGACTAAAGCCCAGTGATAAATAAATAATCCTGCGTGGCTGGCATATCTTAATAAGAATAAGTCTTTGTGTGCAAGCCTTACATCTGTCACTAACAGCTTTTTCACCCTTTCCCTGCCCAAAATAATTGTATTGATATGAGAAGAGCAGGTGTGTGGTGGAGTTTGAATGTAATTAAATGAGATCCCAGAGGCGTATACAGCACCGAAAGAACTGGAGCGCTCCCAACTGCAAAAAGAGTGCAGAATGAAGCCTTCTGGACTGCTCTGACAGACGGCTGCTTGACAAATCTGACTGCCAACACAAAGTTAGGCACAAAAGACAATATGCGACACAACAAATCATTGTGGAAAATGTGTTACTTTTTGCTCAAACAACCTGTATCTCAGCGTTCTGCCATTTGCAAGAACGTTCTATTGAATGTCGTTGAATGATCGGGAATCTTTGTAATGCAGAACACATAACCGGTTACGTAATGTTGTACGGTGTGTGGAAGAAGTAAGCTGCAAAAAATGATAAATTATGAGGTAATAAAAGCTTGAATCTAGTCTTAATTTAATCCTAATTTGAGTTCATTCTGACAAGATTTGTAAATGGGATAAAGTCATGTAGTCCTATTTCAAGAACTGTAGCTTTATTTTCTCATTCCAAGGGAGACATTTCTTGTGTCTTTTTAAAACAAGATCATTTTTTGTGTCCCATTGGCGAATCTTGTTTTAGGCAGAGCAACTTTTGACTTATTCATCACTTTTTGCAGTGTATATATTCACAGATTTCTTTTTACAAGACACTCCCCTGAGTGACTGTATGAATGTAAATATGTATGTATCTAAATAAATAAATAATTAATCAAGATTTATTCCGAAACCGTACTACACAATTTTACGCACCTAAAAAAAAGTTTCCTGTCTCAGTTTTTGCGTCTCTAGATGATTACACAGGGCAGACACTGGTCACCAGCATGCTGTAGATTCTGAAGGGTTAAGACATATTACAAGAATAACTACTTTACAAAAGAAAGCCGAAAATATGATGGGAAAAGCTTCAGCCGTCATTATTTATGGACAACCGTATTGTCCGGCATGTGACTGGTGTAACCACATAAGGAACAGACTACAAACAGTTCGGTTGTATTGCTGTCTAAATTATTTAGTCATTTCCAATTAACGTGCTTCTGCAAACAGACAAGGAAACTCAGTTTCTGGTTCCTATAGTATTGTTGAAAATCCAATCCAATTGTATACAAAATACAAAAAAATACAACACAACCCACCAACCTGACCACTCGACCACGCAACAGACCTACCCCAAATCACACACAGTATATTGTAACACACACACACACACAAACAGTCACATACAATGACACCGCTTTACTTAGTAACTTTGTCCCACACCCTCGTGCTGCAAACATATACAGACAAATACACACAACTTTATATTTTTTGCACTATTAAATACGTTTTTTTTACTTTCCTCCTTATTATGATAAAATTATAGATTTATACTTCTTTATTTTGCTAAAGTCAGAGATTTTAACTTAATTCTTGCTTCTTCATTTTGCCATAGTTTACAGAGAGATGTTAGACTTTCTTCTTGATCGTGCTAATGTTATTGCAGAATTATTGTGAATCTATCTTGCGTTGTGTGCTCCTCATTCCTGCGGTTCTGTAACTAGTGATGCAACACTGGAACTTCCCCAAATATAGGACGAATATCTTAATCCCTTAAATGGGTAAAATATAGGTCAAACCATGAAAACATAGGATCCTGGTGAGTATTGCGGCTAACCCAATGAGAAAATAACAACACAGGACCATAACGAGTGCATGTACGGGAGTGTTTCTTTTTGTAAAACGGTTCGTGGAGATGAGGTCATGCTCAAAGCCGCCTCAGCTCGGTGTGACAGGAGCAGCCGTCACTCAGGTGAGCGAGCGGAGCAGATGTTTCCAGACTCTCCCGTGCCTTTTATTGGACCAGAGAATACACCGCTGGCCCCGCTCCATCTGCCAGACAGGAGCAGATAAATTAAAGCCAACAGCAGGGAGGGGGGCATGATGGGAAGGGCAAGTTTCAGCAGCGCGCGCCGACACAAGGCTAGTCCCATTGGATATTCACGACAAGAGAAAATACTCGGGTGTGTCGCCAGGTGATTATACAGATGCTGTTGTTTCTATTGAGGTTGTCAGATGCTAGGTATAAAATGTAGAACTCACAGAACCAATATTTCTGAGGAGCAAAGGTTTGAAAGTCTGGCGTGAGATTTGTGGTCCTCTGTTTTATCTATTGTATTGTTTCATTGTTATAAAAAAAAAAATTATATGGATATCTGGTATTTATGTTTTTATTTTATTTTATTTTCATATGGATAACTGGTATTTTTATATTTTTATGTTAATGTATTTTTATGGATAACTAGTATTTCAATGATTTTAATCTATATTTATTTTCACATGGATACCTGGTGTTTTTATGTTTTTATTTTATTTTTATGGATAACTGGTATTATGGTTTTTATTTTACTTGTATTGGTTTGGCTTCATATATCATGTTTAAAGCTGACCACCTGCATTTATAAATGTGTTACTTTTATGTGCTATATAAAAAAAGTGGAGAGTGGAGTGGTCCATTCATGTGGTAAACAGAAAAGAATTCCAAGAACAACCCAAATAACTTTGGAAAACACATTTCAGTGACTGTCTGAGTATTGTAGAACTTCCATTACTGTAAGTGGAAGTGACACCGTAATTATTAAAAAAGTGACTCATGCTCAAAGCCTGCGGTGGTAAATTCAATAAAAAATGACTTAATTAAAGTTACAGATCGGTATCTCTGTCCTTCACGTCCTTTGTGTCTGTGTTGACAACATCGCTGTCTGTGAGCGCTTTAATTAAAATGTATTTCAAGATTTCAGCAAGATGAACCTATGCCTCTAATATAGTAAAACGTGGGAAGGTAGCTGCCAATTTAATTTAATTCAGATTAAATAAATCTCACGCTGCTATTTAATTACCACTTACCAGATAAAACAGCTACATATCCAGCTTGGAGGACGGATGTGGCTGTGAGGATGTGAGCTGGAAAGGTGGATATGCTATAAATCAAATGAAATGTGTTTTTGAAACCTCCAACCCACAAGTCATTTTGAGTGATGTCGCACAATGTTTGATTTGCCCAGAACAAACAGTGAAGTCTGTGGGTAAGCAAAACAACCAATCTGCACGATAATTAAGATAACTGAACGTCCCCCGCCTGCATTGAACACATTCGTCAGAAGAAATGCTATTTTCTATTGAGCTTGTACCAAACTTTTTTGTGTACATACATTATTCATTTGTTTTTTATGCAGCATTTTGTTGCGAATTAAATCAGACCACATGCAGTTCTATCTTATCAAATAAACATGATCTATTTGACACACTTGTAAGAAAGCCCTGTGAGCTGATCTAAAGATGTGACGGAGACCAGAACCAAACTGTTTAGGGTTCGATGGGTTTGAATCCTCGTAGGTCGTTCGTGATGTGAAAGTTAGGTACCACAGCTTAAAAAGTGACACAGGGAACACATTAACCAAACATTACATATTGTGTCTTTATGAGGCCTGCAGTGTGTGTGCGCGGCCAACACTCACTGGACAGACAATCCCCCTGATGCCCTGGATCAGTCCTGACCAACCTTCTCCAGGAACATCAGGCCACAGTGAGCACCAAACTCTCATTGTGTCCCTGACCCACATTGCTTAGTATGAGTCTGGTGTATGTCTGAATAATCGGAGGTGTTTGGAGCGACCAATGGCACATATTGGTTGCCTCGCTTCTGTCAGTCTCCCCCAGGGCAGCTATGGCGGTTGTTCATCATACATTTCTCCATTTTGAGATCCATAAAGTTTATCTCATCTTAACAACACCGTGTATAAAGTGAAAGAATAATTTTGTGTGAAGAGTCAAAAGTGTACAACACCTATGCATTATTAAAATATATTGTGTCGCAATCAAAAGTTTAAATACATGATTTTTATTTGAGCATTTAATTCCAAAGTTTGGATATAGTATTCACAACATAGAAAAGTCTGCAGCTGTGTTTGTAAAACGCCCATTATGGTCAATTACTTGAACCGCCTTTGCTCGGCACCTCGGGGCGGACAGCCCATAGCTGGAATATTACATGTACAGTGTAATTTTTCCAAAGGATCAGTTAAATATTGTATTAGTTTTCGCTTTCATCTGCTCTGCTCATTCAAGTTGCTTTTGATAGACGACTGAGAAACGAGGCTTCATGGCCTTTGAAGAGTTTTCAGAAACGGCCCAATTACACTGTGAGGAAGGAAATTTACTTCACAGTAGAGTTTCCTTGACGTAAAAGATGTAAATGGTAAATGAAGCTTTTGGGACAAGAGCAGTGTGTTTGATTTAACTCATTTATATGAATAGAAAACAAGAATAAATGTTCAAAATATTTTTTTTACAGCTATCAAAATGGACACTATCAACAACACATCTAAATTCAAAGAAAGCCTAGTCCCCCATTTTACAGCCCAGACTTACTTGAGGATGACACAGCCACTGCCAGCTGGGGGCGCTGTCCAGAACACCTGAATTCTGGTGCGTCGGCGTGGGGTGCTCTCCGTCACCGCTGGGGGGCAGTTGGTCATGTATTGTGTCTCATCTTCATCAATAATCTGTTAAAGAGACAAACACAAAACATAAGCAAGAAGCAACAATAAGTAGACATTTTAGACCAGACCGGCACAGGACAAATCTGAGAAGTTTGAGTTGAAGGAAAGTATTATTTAAATGATTTGTGTCACGGTGGTGCAGCGGTTAGAGCTTGTGCCTCACAGCAAGAGGGTCCTGGGTTCGATTCCACCTCCAGGCCTCTTTGTGTGGAGTTTGCATGTTCTCCCCGTGTCTGTGTAGGGTTTTCTCTGGATGCTCCACCACCGTGTGTGGAGAGAATGGAAAAATATTTGAACTCTGAACATTGTAAAGCGCTTTGGGTGACCTTGGTCTGTAAAATGCAAAAAACAACTGGATGGATTGAGCTGAAATTTGGTACAAAGACCCCATTAAAAATCAAGATGATCCGTGGTGTTGCTGAGCGCTTGTTTTAGTTTGTATTTTATGTATGTGTTTGTTAAGTTTCCCGCAGATAATTTTTGCAGATACTGTTAAATGCAGATTGATGTTTTTGCTTTTACGTCTTTGAGGTGGCCCAAGGAGGATGTTGTTGAGGAAGTGATTATACTGGTGGGGGTCGCGCGTGTCCCGAGCTCGTGGGGGAGGTCGAGCGATACCGACTAGAGATAGTCTGCCTCACCTCCACACACAGCTTGGGCTCTGGAACCCAACTCCTTGAGAGGGGTTGGACGCTCCACTTTTCTGGAGTTTCCCGCGGGGAGAGGCGGCGAGCTGGGGTGGCCATTCTCATTGCCCCCCATCTCAGCCGCCATGTGTTGGAGTTCTCCCCGGTGAATGAGAGGGTCGCGTCCCTCCGCCTCCGAGTGGGGGACAAGTCTCTCATTGTTGTGACGGCCTACGGGCCTAACAGCAATGCAGAGTACCCGGCCTTCTTGGAGTCCTTGGGAGGGGTACTGGACGGTGCACCGCCCGGGGACTCCGTTATTCTCCTGGGGGACTTCAACGCCCATGTGGGAGTCGCCAGTGACACTTGGAGAGGGGTGATCGGAAAGAACGGCCCCCCTGATTTGAACCCGAGAGGTGTTCAGTTGTTGGACTTCTGTGCCAGTCACAGTTTGTCCATCACGAACACCATGTTTGAGCACAAGGGTGTCCACCAGTGCACGTGGCACCAGGACACCCTAGGCCGGAGGTCGATGATCGACTTTGTTGTCGTATCATCTGACCTTCGACCGCGTGTCTCGGGACACTCGGGTAAAGAGAGGGGCGGAGCTGTCAACCGATCATCACCTGGTCGTGAGTTGGATCCGCTGGCAGGGGAAGAAGCCGGTCAGACCTTGCAGACCCAAGCGTATAGTGAGGGTCTGCTGGGAACGTCTCGCTGAGCCCCCTGTCAGACGGACTTTCAACTCGCACCTCCGGGAGAGTTTCTCCCAGGTCCCGGCGGAGGAGGGGGACATGGAGTCCGAGTGGACCATGTTCTCTACCTCAATCGCCGATGCGGCGGCTCGTAGCTGTGGTCGCAAGGTCTCTGGTGCTGGTCCCGGCGGCAACCCCCGAACCCGGTGGTGGACACCGGCAGTAAGGGATGCTGTCAGGCTGAAGAAGGAGTCCTATCGAGCCATGATGGTTCGGGGGACTCCTGAGGCAGCTGTCCAGTACCGGCAGGCCAAGCGTGCCGCAGCCCGGGCTGTTGCAGAGGCAAAAACCCGGGACTGGGAGGAGTTCGGAGAGTCAATGGAGCATGACTATCGGTCGGCCTCGAAGAGATTCTGGCAAACCATCCGGCACCTCAGGAGGGGGAAGCAGTTCTTTGCCAACACCATGTACGGTGCGGGTGGAGAGCTGCTGACCTCGACTGGGGATATTGTCGGGCGGTGGAAGGAATACTTCGAGGTTCTCCTCAATCCCCCCGTCACGTCCTCTGTTACAGAGGCAGAGGCTGAGGATGTTGGGGCGGATACATCTATCTCCCTGGCTGAGGTCACCAAGGTGGTTGGTAGCCTCCATGGTGGCAAGGCTCCGGGTGTGGATGAGATCCGCCCTGATTATCTAAAGTCTCTGGATGTTGTAGGACTGTCTTGGCTGACACGTCTCTGCAACATCGCGTGGCGATCGGGGGCAGTGCCAATGGAGTGGCAGACCGGGGTGGTGGTCCCTCTCTACAAGAAGGGGGACCGGAGGGTGTGTTCCAATTATCGTGGGATCACACTCCTCAGCCTCCCCGGTAAGGTCTACTCCAGGGTACTGGAGAGGAGGTTACGGCCGATGGTCGAATCTCGGATCCAGGAGGAGCAGTGTGGTTTTCGTCCCGGTCGCGGAACACTGGACCAGCTCTATACTCTCCATCGGATACTCGAGGGTTCATGGGAGTTCGCCCAACCTGTCCACATGTGTTTTGTGGATTTGGAGAAGGCGTTCGACTGTGTTCCCCGGGGTGTCCTTTGGGGGGTTCTCCGGGAGTACGGGGTCGGGGGTCCTCTGCTGAGGGCCGGCTGTATGACCGGAGCCAGAGCTGTGTTCGCATTGCCGGCAGTAAGTCAGACCTGTTCCCGGTGAATGTTGGCCTCCGACAGGGCTGCCCTTTGTCACCGGTTCTGTTCACTGTATTTATGGACAGAATATCTAGGCGCAGCCAGGGGTCGGAGGGGGCACGGTTCGGAGACCACAGGATTTCATCTCTGCTGTTTGCGGACGATGTTGTCCTGTTGGCTCCAACGAACCAGGACTTGCAACATGCACTGGGGCGGTTTTCAGCCGAGTGTGAAGCGGCTGGGATGAGAATCAGCACCTCCAAATCCGAGGCCATGGTGCTCGACCGGAAAAAGGTGCCTTGCCCTCTGCAGGTGGGTGGAGAGGTCCTTCCTCAAGTGGAGGAGTTCAAGTATCTCGGGGTCTTGTTCACGAGTGAGGGAAGAATGGAGCGTGAGATTGACAGGCGGATTGGTGCAACGTGCGCAGTGATGCGGTCGCTGTATCGGACCGTTGTGGTAAAGAGGGAGCTGAGCCGAAAGGCAAAGCTCTCGATTTACCGGTCAATCTTCGTTCCCTCCCTCACCTATGGTCATGAGCTTTGGGTAATGACCGAAAGAACGAGATCGCGGATACAAGCGGTCGAAATGAGCTTCCTCCGCAGAGTGGCTGGGCGCTCCCTTAGAGATAGGGTGAGGAGCTCAGTCACACGGGAGGAGCTCGGAGTAGAGCCGCTGCTTCTCCACGTCGAGAGGAACAAGTTGAGGTGGCTCGGGCATCTGCTCCGGATGCCTCCTGGACGCCTCCCTGGGGAGGTGTTCCGGGCACGTCCCACCGGGAGGAGGCCCCGCGGAAGACCTAGGACACGCTGGAGAGACTATGTCTCTCAGCTGGCCTGGGAACGCCTTGGGGTCCCCCCGGACGAGCTGGAGGAAGTGTGTGTGGATAGGGAAGTGTGTGTGGATAGGAAAGTCTGGGCGTCTCTGCTTAGACTGCTGCCCCCGCGACCCGACAACGGATAAAGCGGAAGAAAATGGATGGATGGATGGATGGATGGATGGGTCGCGCGTGTCGTGTTGTAAAGTTCCACTGCCCACTACTGGCCAGGCACTTGAACTACATAGTTTTCTGTAGCCGTGTAGACGCTTAGCACTTCGAATACAAAGCCGGGTTGTTTTGGAAAATGTCTTTGCAGCGTCTCCGCAGCGTCTCCGTCTGAACAGGGCCTTAGACTTTCAGGCCGGGAGTGCAAAGACAGTTTTCTGGACTTGTGAACGTAAAGATCAGGAATTGCACTCAATGTCTTTCTTGCAAAGAGGAAACAGCGCTTACCCCCTGGAGACTGCTCTGTCAAGACCAAACTAATCAAAACCAATCACTGCAACAGTAATGAATAACATTATCCTTTTAACTCAAAATAAACCCTAAAAGTCATTTTATGCATGACTTGTTTTCCTTTATGTGCTAATGGTTTGTCTAAATGTTTGTTGTTCCCCTTCATTAATTCACAAAGGTGCCATTAACTTGAGCCAAAGGCAAGCTTGTGTTAAATAGGTCTCGATCTTCTGTTGAGGTGTGGAATAATGACAGCATTGTTTATTCAGAGCGGTATTAGCCTGGTCCCTGGTGCTCGCTGCTTGTCATACATTTTAAACACATCAATTCCGGTGCAGACACAAACAGACACGAGAACTTTGACACGGTCGCCATTCTGCTCCAGCTGCTGCCCTCGGAGAACAATGCCACTGACCTGCACCCCCGTGTCCCCCGCTTGGACAAAGTCAAAGCTAAAGCTAAGTAGCGGCCTGCATGATCGACATACTAATTTAGGGGCTTTTCATGTGAACACAGTTTCCCATGGTGCAGCATTCACGCGCTGGGATGTGCTGTCAGTCACACACTCACACAAACCACCACCAAAACACAACAGGAGAAAGGAAAAAACGCACAAGTTTAGCCTCTGTCACTTTTCTCAGCGATCGCTTTTCTCTGGGGCTGGTGCTACTCTGACTGCCACCCCCCTGACCCAGAAATGGATTAAGGGGAAGATAATGGATGGATGGATGGCTTTTCTCTATCTGTGGGTGTTCTGTTTAATTCAACAAGTACATTTTTGAACTTTTGTGGCAATATCCAGCAATAACGATCTCTACACTCACACAGCACTTATACTGTACATAACCCTAACTCTAACACACACAGCACTTTGAGTTTCCTTGTGTATGAATTGTGCTATACAAATAAACGTGGTTTGCCTTGCCTTACGAGTTTGTCATACATTAGTTTCAAGTTGAAATACAGTAAATGGACTCGAACAATATTCCAATTTTCTCAGTTTTCCCTGCATAAACCTCTGTACAAAACTGTAAGAATAATTAGAAGTTATTATAATATCACATAAGCGCATCACTTATCCAAATTAGCCACACCCTTTTTCTGTATCTCTCTATTTTATTCAGATATCTCATGAAAGTTTCTTTTAGGTTCCAAGTTGCTTTTATGATGAGCTTTATCAATAATTTATTTGTATAGCACAATTCGT